CATGTTTGTTTCACACGCTGCGCCTTGGTCTACTCACTCCTACGACGATCGTGACACTGAAAGTAAAATAAAAACAGATTTCATTTTTTTTTTTTTTTGTAAACTGAATAAAAAATTAAAAATAAAACATTTGAAAAACTAAAACTATTCTTAACTATTATTGTTGGCTTCAAAACTAACTAAAATAAATAAACATATCTTCTAAACTTTGGACAACATTTCATGGGGTTTTCAAGCTTTCCTGATTCATTGTGCTGGCATCTTCCTGGGGTCCTGCTGCACCATAGCTGTACTCTCTGATTTGCTGAAGTACAAAAGACTCTGCTTCCCTCATCAGTGTCTCTATGTCTGTTGAGCGAAGTCCCAGATTTGCAGTTACTATAATAACCTTGGTATGTTGTACCGAAGTTGACTGACTGAAAGGGACACAGCATGTTGTGATCCTCCCTCTCTCTCTCTCGGGAGAGAGAGAGTAGGACAGAGAGGAGAGCGAGAGAGAGAGAGAGCAGAGAGAGAAGCAGAGAGACGAGAGCTCAGACAGAGAGGAGAGCGAGAGAGAAGGATCTCTGCCTCCTCCCTCCCTCTCCCATCTCCCCTCCCCCCTCCCCCCCCCCCTCTCCTCTCCCCCCCCCCCCCCCCCTCTCTCTCCCCCCACCCCCCCCCCCTCCCCCTCACAGATGGTATTGTACAAGGAGGGAATTCCTCCCTGTTGCTTAGTGTGTTGTCATTATGGTTAATGACATTCCGATCTCCTTTGCATTATAGTAGCCATTTTTCTGTAGCCTGAGTAGGTGTTTCCAAACTTTTGACTGGTACTCTAGGTAGGTAAAGTGACTATGCATAGATAATAAACAGCGAGTAGCAACAGTGTAGATAGTCCAGGTGGCCATTTGATTAATTGTTCAGCAGTCTCATGGCTTGGGGGTTAAGGAGCCTTTTGGACCTAGACTTGGCGCTCCGGTACAGCTTGCCTTGCGGTAGCAGAGAGAACAGTCTATGACTTGGGTGACTGTAGTCTTTGACAGTTTTTTGGGCCTTCCTCTGACACCGCTTAGTATATAGGTCCTTGATAGCAGGAAGCTTGGCCCCAGTGATGTACTGGGTTATACGCACTACCCTCTGTAGCGTCTTACGGTCGGATGCCAATGGCACCGGAGGGTGGAGTGGGTGGGCGGGGGAGCAGAGACGGCCGCCTACCTAGCGGGCGAGGTCCGGCAGGCTGGTTCGACACGGTCGTGGACTGACCCAACATTCTGCGTTTGGAATCAAGGATGGCCTGAATGTTCTGACCCCAAGAACGTGTGACACCATTGCATCAGTTGGGGTCTAACAGCTGCTGCTATGTAACTCTTCCCAGCTGGTGTCTCAGGAGGAGCCGGGTCTGAGGTTAGGGCTTCTTGTATGGCAGAGTGAACCTCCCACTGTACCGGTCCCATAATGCAAGAGGAAGGAAGAATGGGTGTAGGGTCTGAGTTACTGGTCGGAAGGTCAAACTGACGGGAGAGAGCATAAGCTTTTACGTTTTTCTTTCCAGGGATGTAAGTAACATGGAAATGGAAGCGTGTGACGAAGAGAGCTCAGCGGGCTTGTCTGGAGTTTAACCTCTTGGCCCCTCTGATATATTCCAGATTATGATGATCTGTTAGGACGAGAAAGGGAGGTTGTGCGCCCACCAACCAGTGGTGCCACTCCTCGAGGGCCAGCTTGATGGCGAGGAGTTCTCTGTTCCCCACATCGTAATTCCTCTCAGCGGGGGATAACTTCCTGGAGAAGAAGGCACAAGGATGTGATTTTGGAGGTGTTCCCACCCGCTGACAGAGTATGACTCCTACTCCTACTTCGGATGCATCCACCTCCAGTGTGAAAGGGAGGGTTGGATCAGTTTGGCAAAGGACAGGAGCTGAGGTGAAGAGGCGTTTCAAGGTGTTGAAAGCAGTCAATGCGGTATCAGTCCATTGAAGGGTCCGGGTCTTTTGGCTGGTAAGGGCAGTGAGAGGAGCGGCAGTAGAACTGAAGTTCTGAATGAACCGGCGATAGAAGTTGGAGAACCCAATGAAACATTGGAGTTTCTTAACGGTGGTGGGTTTGGGCCAGTTACTGACGGCGGTGACTTTGTTCTCATCCATGCTGACCCCTCCAGGTGTCAGTACGAAACCGAGGAAGTTTGCTGAGGTTACATGGATGGTGCTCTTTTCAGTCTTCACATAAAGGTTATGGTCAAGGAGCCATTGAATAACCCTTTGTACATGCTGTATGTGTTCCTTCAGGGAGTGGGAGTAAATCAGGATTTCATCAATGTAGACGATGAGAAAGCGGTTGATCATATCCTGGAAAACCTCGTTCATAAAGGATTGGAAGACGGCGGGGGCGTTAGTAAGGCCGTAGGGCATGACCAGGTATTCGTAGTGCCCTCATGCGGTGATGAAGGCCGTCTTCCATTCGTCGCCTTCACGTATACGGACAAGGTTATAAGCACTCCGCAGGTCGAGTTTTGTATAGATGCTGGCGTGGCCCACTTGTTCAAGGGTCGCTGGGATCAGAGGAAGAGGGAAACGGTTCTTGACCGTAACGTCATTCAGGGAACGGTAATCAATACATGGATTAAGACCACCATCCTTTTATCCAACGAAGATGAAGCTGGACGCAGCCGGGGAAGAAGAAGGACGAATTAAACCTTTTTCGAGCGCTTCATCAATGTAGTTCTCCATTGCCTCATTTTCCGGGATAGATAGGGGGTAAACACGGCCCTTCAGTGGGGACACTCCAGGGAGTAAGTCAATAGCACAGTCCCCTGGGCGATGTGGTGACAGAGTGGAGGCCTTGATTTTGCTGAAGACATTGCTGTACTGGGCGTATTCAGATGATATGGTGGGTGGCACTGCAGAGGCAGAGTCCTCAATGGTGGTGGCTCTGCAGGGTAGGCTGACACAACTGGTGAAGCAGGTAGAAGACCAGGACATTAGTTCACCTTGTCGCCACGAGATGGCATTTTCGTGACGACAAAGCCAGGGGTGTCCGAGGATGAGTGGCTGTTTGGGGGATGAGAGTTCCATGATTTGAATGGTTTCGGTGTGGAAGACTCCAATCTGGAGGGTAACGCTTTGTGTCAGGTGCGTAATGAAGCCCGTGCCCAATGGCTGCCCGTCTAGGGTGTTAATCCTTAAGGAGGGGTGACAGGTGTTAGATTGATGTCAAGCTCTTGTACTAGCTGGTGATCGATAAAACGACCTGCTGCTCCCGAATCTATCAAGCCCTCTATGTACTTCGTAACCCCCTTCACGGTTATCAATACTGGAATGGAGAATTGCTTCTGGGAGGTATTTAGAAATATGGACCCACCTACCTGCATGGCAGCGGAGGGACCCTTCATATCTCTCCGTGGGGGGCGAACAGGGCATTGGCTGAGTAAATTATCTTTCCCTCCACAGTATAGGCAGAGCCCTTCTTGGATCCGCCTTTGACGTTCGATACATGGGAGAGTAGCATGACCCAACTGCATGGGCTCTGGAAGACTCGGACGGGATGATGGAATCATGGAAAGAGAAGGTTTCGGGTTCTTGGGTGGCAGAGTTCATTGGCGGTTGGCGATGAGGTGGTCGATGGAGATAGGAATGTTTTGATTTAAATCCTTAAGGTCACCTCTACAGGCCAGCTCCGCCTGAAGTTCCCTGTTGAGCCCTCTTCGGTAGACGGTAAGTAAAGCAGCCTCACTCCATCCACTCCCTGCAGCCATGGTGCGGAACTCGAGGGCATACTCGGCAACTGAATTGTGTCCTTGTTGAAGGTCTATGAGGAGGTCCCCTATAGGACGACCGGAAGGAGAGTGATCAAATACCTCTTTGAAGAGGGTGTGGAAATGGGTCTCGGATCCGAGTTCTGTGCTGTTGGCAGTCCATATGGTGGTGGCCCAATCCAGGGCTTTGCCTTTGAGTAGAGACACAACAAAATCCACCCTGCTCTTGTCGGTGGCAAAATTAGTGGGGTTGTGCTCAATGTATTTAGTGCATTGCATCAGAAATCCCTTACATTTCCCAGGTGAACCGTCATTTTTTCCAGGCATGGATATGAATGAAGGAGGGCTATGGGTTACGATACCTGGCATCGGAGGAGTACAACAGCTCTGCTCCGCTAAGCATGAAAGCCCTGACGTCTGCAGTGGCTGCATCGCAGTAAATGCTGTACTGCCACTTGATGGTGGATTGACCATGCAGAGCCTTTAAGGGCTTTTATCAGAGACAGAAGAGGAAGCGAAACATCCCACTCCCTAATTTTTGGGGGTTCCTATATGGTCAATGAACGAAGCAGACCAGACCCAGCTGCTAATGCATTGGTGTCTATGGAAGAGCCACCCCATTAAGCAGATGGGAACTGACCATTTATTTTTCAATGGTAACGGTCTGAGTGTGATATTATAATTTATCCACCATCTTTGGTTTTATACAATTTTTTAACTGTGCCCCACTAATTAGGCTCCCATGGAAACACTGACCAGAACATTGTTTCCTTGCTAGCTAATAGTCCATGTATAAACATTTACATTTTAGTCATTTAGCAGACGCTCTTATCCAGAGCGACTTACAGTTAGTGAGTGCATACATTTATCATACTGGCCCCCCGTGGGAAACGAACCCACAACCCTGGCTTTGCAAGCGCCATACTCTACCAACTGAGCTACAGGGGACTACTAACCTTGAACAAAGACAACTTAGCCTATACCACTTCTGTTTTTAAACAATTAGCTATAGGCAGTGTATGAAATAGCTACAGAAGACTTCTTTCGTTGCTATTGACTTAATTTAACTGTCATCAGACACTTTTGATGATGACTCCTTGGCGCATTTGAGCAGTGTTCTAAATAGTGTACTGTCCCTTTAAAAAGTCCTTCCCGGTCTCTGTTCATTTGGTCGGCACGGTTTCTAAACCATACTGTAGTGTCTTTAGTATCTGCAATCTTCTTCCCCATTTCGCTGCTACTGTTTTCATTGTCACTCTGTCTGATCATGGCTGCACATTCTATCGAAGAACTGTTCCCCTTCCAAGGGTTGCTCCCCAAAGAGGAGACCGGCGCTGCGTCTTATCTCACTAGGTTCCCCGATTACGATGGACGGGGTGTTCTCATCGCTATCCTCGACACTGGCGTGGACCCAGGGGCCCCGGGCATGCTGACCACGACGGAGGGGAAGCCAAAGATCGTTGACATCATCGATACGACGGGCAGCGGAGATGTCAACATGGCAACGGTGGTGGAACCTAAAGACGGGGCGGTGACTGGGCTCTCCGGGAGGACGCTCAAGATCCCTCATACCTGGGTTAATCCATTAGGAAAGTACCACATTGGGATCAAAAATGGATATGAGTTGTTCCCTAAAGCTCTCAGAGAGAGAATCCAGAAAGAGCGAAAGGAGAAAATGTGGGATCCAGCACACAGAGCAGCTCTGGCTGAAGCTAGTCACCGGGCAGAGCAGTTTGACATTGCTCACCCCTCCCCCTCACAGGCTGAGGGTCACAGTCAGGAGGTATTGTTCACAGATGTCCACTTCAGACCAGGGCAGATAAGACGACACTTCATCACTGTTCCACAGGGAGCCTCCTGGGCAGAGATAACATTGACGTCTCAGAGTGGTGATGTGTCCTCTAAGTTTGTCCTCCATGTGGTCCACCTGGTGAAGCAGAGAGCTTACAGAGCCAACGAGTTCTACAAGTTCTCCTCTCTGCTGGAGAAGAGCTCCCTGACTGAGGCCTTCCCTGTCCTGCCAGGGTGGACGGTAGAGTTGTGTATCGCCAGGTGGTGGGCAAGCCTTGGTGACGTCACCGTTGACTACAGTATCTCCTTCCACGGCCTGACCACCTCCCCGTCACCTCTACACATACATGCATCAGAAGGTGTGACTAGTTTTGAGGTGTCCTCTCCTCTGAGGTACGAAGATGTTTCTCCTAGCGTCACCCTGAAGAGCTGGGTCCAGCCACTCAGACCTCTGAGTTCTAAGACCAAGGCTCTGGGTCACAGAGATGTTCTCCCCAACAACAGACAGCTCTATGAGATCATCCTCACCTACAGCTTCCACCAGCCTAAGTCAGGAGAGGTGACCCCCAGCTGTCCAGTACTGTATGAGCTGCTGTATGAATCAGAATTTGACTCTCAGCTCTGGATGCTGTTTGACCAGAACAAGAGACTACTGGGCTCTGGAGACGCCTACCCACACCAGTACTCTCTCAAACTAGAGAAAGGCGACAACACGGTGCGTCTGCAGGTGCGTCATGAGCAGGCCAGTGAGCTGGAGCGTCTGAAGGACCTTCCGTTTGTGGTGTCCCACCGTCTGTCCACTGCTCTGACCCTGGATGTGTATGAGTCTCACCGCGCTGCTCTCGTGGCTAAGAAGAAGACCAACCTCCTGACCCTCACCCCTGGAGCTATTCAGCCTTTTTATGTTACAGCCCTGCCTGACGACAAGGTTCCTAAAGGAACGTGTCCATGATGCTATCTGACTGGCTCCCTGGTCGTGCCTAAGGGAGAGTACGGCAAGAAAGCAGACATTGTGCCAGTGGTCTACCACCTGATCCCTGCACCAAACAAGGAGAAGGAGAATGAGGGAGAGAAGGAGAAGGAGGGAGCGAAGGAGAAGGATGTGAAGCAGGAGTTTGCAGAGGCTCTCAGAGACCTGAAGATCCAGTGGATGACCAAGTTAGACACCAGCTCCCTGTATGATGAACTGAAGGACAACTTCTCTTCTTATCTGCCACTACATGTTCAGAGGCTGCACCAGCTAGACTCTGAGAAGGAGCGTTTGATGCGCCTGGGTGACATCGTGACGGCCTCTGATATGGTTCTGTCTCGGATCGACCAGACTGCCCTGGCGGTCTACCTCACCATAAAGACCGACCCTCGCCCCGACGCTGCCACCATCAAGAGTGACATGGAGAAGCAGAAATCTTCCCTGCTGGATGCTCTGTGCCCTGGCTGACCTGGTGCTGCTGCCTGCTACAACCCAGGACGGGGCTGGGGAAGCTGGGGAGGGGGAGGCTAGGGAGGGGGGTGGAGACCGGGGAGAGACTGGGGCTGGAGAGACTGGGGCTGGAGAGGGGGAGGTGACCAGCTCTGACGACGCCCAACAGGGCAGGGCCAAAGACTTGACCGACACCTTCTGGGAGCTGCAGAAGTGGGTGGAGCTAACTGACTCTAAGGTGTTGACGTTCTCCTACAAACATGCACTAGTGAATAAGATGTACGGCAGAGCCCTGAAGTATGCCTCCAAGATCGTAGAAGACAAACCCAGTAAAGAGAACTTGAAGAACTGCATCCAGCTAATGCGGTCCTTGGGCTGGATGCACTGTGCCACTTTCACAGAGAACTGGCTGCCCATCATGTACCCTGCCGACTACACTCCCTTCTAGACTCACGGTTACACACACACACACACACACACACACACACACACACACACACACACACACACACACACACACACACACACACACACACACACACACAGTCATGGATTGACCTCACAAACATAAACACACATCTGAAAACAGTCAGCGTTTTTACCAAGTCGGACTGAATGCCTCAACAATCTGCCCTCTCTCTCAATGTGGTTACATAGAGATGATTTCAACCCAGCCACATTTCAGATCTTCTTGTGAAACCCTCCATTGTTGCTCAGTTGTAGATATAAATGTGATGCACAGAACAGATTGGATTGTTTGTTTCTGGAATGTCTGATCTTTACGTGACATTTCTATTATTTTTCAACGTTGTGAATGTTTCACCCTCCTGAATGAACCGGTCTGTAGAAATGTATATTCATGCATCATAATACACATTATAAAGAGGCAATATAACTTTACATGTTATTATTCTCCCTGATGTATTTTAAATGTATGGATGTCTTTTAGAGTAAACCTGTTTTTGTTTGGAAGCTGATCATTTGACTTTAGTTGGGGCGGCAGGTAGCTTAGTGGTTAAGAGCGTTGTGCCAGTAACCGAAAGGTCGCTGGTTCTAATCCCCGAGCCGACTAGGTGAAAGTAGAGTCAAAACGAACAATACCTCACAAGGAACAAACAGAAAGAACTGAACTAAATAAGGAGCTGATGAGACCAGGTGAGCAACTAACACAGGTGAAATCAACGAACAAAAATGAAAGACAGGGCTACGTTCAAGAACACAAAGAAACAGGGCTACGTTCAAGAACACAAGGTGAACTAAGAAAATAAATACAGAACCTTACAGTTCTGGCACTACCTGTGCTATCTCTCTCTCTCTAGGTCTAATAAGGTCACATAGTAGCTTCGCTGGTCTCTGCTCTACTTCTCTGCTACAGAACATGTCGTGTGTGTGTGTCGCTCCCTCAATTAGTCACATGGTACCACAGACTAGACTGTGCAAGTCTGCAAATAGTGAAACCTGGCAGAAAAACGTGTCTGGGCAGCAGTCTTTACATTTCTCATTCTAAACTTTTTCAATAACACTTAATTGTACAGTTTATTTTTAATTGAATAACTGGGTAAATAATTTGTACAAAAATTGTAATTTGGTTTAGATAGTTGTATAATGTAAATTAAGCGCTAGAATTAAACGCTAATTTAATTTCCTGCACTTTTTTCTCTCAGATGTCCTGGATATTACCTGTATGCCATATATTATATAAAAAACATGAGAAATTAAGTTATATTTTCATGTTAAGTTATATTTTCATGTCTCTTATGACCTAATTATCTAATTTGACTACCAATTACTACCTAGTATCACCATCTAATGTACCAAGTTATTTCATTAAACCACTGAATGGGATATTTAATTTCAAAATGGGCTTTACTGACTGAATTTGCATGTTTGAGCATTTAACCCTCAAGTGATGCACTTTAAGGTTGGGTATCTCAAATGGCACCCTATTATTTTTTTTAAAATTATTTGTTAATAATTTTTTATTGAATATTAAAACATTCAATCTACCTGCAGTGAAGCCGCTCAACATTTACATTACATTCAGTCATCTAGCAGACTCCCATCCAGAGCGACCCACAGGAGCAACCAGGGTCAAGGGCACGACAGATTTCCCACCAAGTCAAATCGGAGACCCGAAACAGCGACTTATCGGCCACAGGTCCAAGCTCCCAACCGCCATGCCACCAACCATGTTTGTTTATTTTGACCGTCATTCTATCCCCCGCCCAGCAACTCCACTCCCACTTGTCCCCAGTTCCACATCCCAACCATCAGTTTCCCTCAGCCCTCCCTATTACTTATACTGTATAGTGCAATCCCTATTTGCCATGTTCAAAAGTAGTGCAGTGTACAAAACATTTCATGACATAGACTGACCAGGTGAAAGCTATGATCCCTTATTGATGTTAAATCCACTTCAATCACTGTAGAACTGCAACGCTGCTGCGTTGTTCACGCTCAACAGTTTCACATGTGTATCAAGAATGGTCCACCACCCAAAGGACATCCAGCCAACTTGACACAACTGTGGGAAGCATTAGAGTCAACATGGGCCAGCATCCCTGTCGAACGCTTTCGACACCTTGTAGAGTCCATGCCCCAGAGGCTGTTCTGGGGGCAAAATGAGGTGCAACTCAATATTAGGAAGTTGTTCCTAATGTTTTGTACACTCAGTGTATATGGAATAGGGTGCCATTTGGGACGCATACCAAGTAATAGCTCTTGATCAGCTTTTCCTTCTAGATGACATGGAGGTCTCGATCTTGTTGTCTTAGGGGCCTCCTGTCTGGTGAAATCCGGAGTGATTGATCCCCCCAATCACATTTCTCTCATCTCCTTGTCACACCGGTTCATCTCTCCTAAATCTAATAGCAAAGAGACGTCGGAATCCATCACCCACGATGCACCACAACTCAGCCCCTCTCTCTCTTCTCTCTGCCTCTCCCAGGGACGCTGCACACGTGACAACTGTAAGTACCTGCACCCCCCTCCCCACCTGAAGACCCAGCTTGAGATCAACGGGAGGAACAACCTGATCCAGCAGAAGACAGCAGCGGCCATGTTGGCCCAACAGATGCAGTTCATGCTGCCGGGAGCCCAGTTGCAGCCCATAGTGAGTAGACCACACTACACAGTGAGTAGTTCATGTATAGTGCATGGCAGGGGCACCACTTTGGTTTAAGAAGTGGGGTGGGGATAACCTGGCGGGGGTCTGGGATTTATTTGGGCATCTAAAGCTAATTTCCTGCATTTTTACACAATCTAATCTCCATTTAGTACAAAAAGTAAGTAACAATTCACACAGTCATCAAGCTAGGTAAGAGATCATTATTAAATATGTTTAAGTGATTAATAAGACTGAACTAGATCAAAGGTAATTCAATAATATATATTGTGTTGTACCTTTAACCAATAGCCTAATAAATGAACAACTCTTGAAAAAATACAATAGACTTTTGATTGTCTTTATTAAGACATGCTCTATATCAAATTTCAGCCAGACAAGCCAGCCAACCCGAGCCGCCTGCACGCCCGACCCCCACCAGTCTAGTCAATAACTCAACTCTCTCCCAACACAATTTCCTTTCCAGTTCACACCTTTATTTTTTTAATTCCCAAGGGAAAGGTTTGGAAACAAAAAACAATAACAAAAAAAACACATACACCTCAAATATACATTAACACACAGAAACAGCAAATCCTCCATATAATTCATCTCATAGGACTAATAGTACTGTAGAGCTCTTTTTACTTGCACACAATATAGCTGGGTCGCCCCGTCCTGTCCCTAGGGGTCCACCACCCTGCAAGCGCCCCAACCCAATGCACCCCACTCACCTACAGGATCTTAGTGAAACTTTCATCATTGGTTTCGGGTGTGTTAGGCCAAGGCCAGAGTGACAACCCACAGGACAGCAGACCCCCAGGGCCAGGACTGAGCAGCCCAGCAGCTAGGGATTGCCTAAATAGGTACAGTATCTTCCCTGGCATGGGCATGTTTTCAATACAGACTCCTTTAGTCATACTGTATTCCATATAAGGCATCTAGACCTTATGAAAGTTGCCCAGTATGCCCTTAATCTTGTAATAAACCAAATCTAGTGATACATAACTTGACATTGTGGGAGGATAACCAACCTTCCAATTAATGGCAATGCATTTCTTTACCGCTATAAATGCTTGGTTATACAGTTTCTTCAGATAACAGTCTCCAGTATCAACATTTCCAAGCAAACAAAAACAGGGAGAAGGGATAATCTGTAGACATCTGTTGACATCTGTAGAGTACATCATGATAAGCTGCAGACCACACTATCTACCAAAAGAGTTCTCATTTATATTATTCGTAGCTGTCAATTTACCACCACAAACCATCACTAGCGCTAAGACCGCACTCAAAATGCTCATCCAGAAGCGGTGCTCCTAGTAGCCGGGGATTTTAATGCAGGCAAACTTAAATCAGTTTTACCTAAATTCTACCAGCATGTCACATGTGCAACCAGAGGAAAAATAACTCTGGATATCTTTACTGCACACACAGAGACACATACAAAGCTCTCCCTCGCATTCCATTTGGCAAATCTGACCATAATTCTGTCCTCCTGATTCCTGCTTACAAGCAAAAACTAAAGTAGGAAGTACCAGTGACTCGCTCAATATGGAAGTGGTCAGATGACGCAGATGCTACGCTACAGGACTGTTTTGCTAGCACAGACTGGAATATATTCCGGAATTCATCCAATGGCATTGAGGAGTATACAACCTCAGTCATTGGCTTCATCAATAAGTGTATCGACGACGTCGTCCCCACAGTGACCGTACGTACATATCCCAACCAGAAGCCATGGAGCTAAAGGCTAGAGCTGCCGTTTTCAAGGAGCGGGACACTAATCCGGACGCTTTGTCACGATCGTCAGGGAGAGAAGTAGACCAATGCGCAGCGTGATGAACGAACATGATTACTTTATTTAATAAAGTGCACACACGAAACAACAAAACAATAAACGACTCGTGAAGTCCACGGTGACAATGACCGAACACGGACCAAAAACCCACAAACACAAAGGGAAAAACTGACAGTTTAAATATGGCTCCCAATCAGAGACAACCAGCCAACAGCTGACACTCGTTGCCTCTGATTGGGAGTCACTCAGGCAAAACATAGAAATAGACGAACTAGAACCCCCAACATAGAAATACACCACATAGAACAAACACACCCTGGCTCAACAACTAGAGTCCCATAGCCAGGGTCCGGAAAGGACCGGACCTGGCTGACGATGCGCACCCCTGGCTTGGTGCGTGGAGCAGCAACGGGCCGGACCGGGCTGACGATACGCACCCCTGGCTTGGTGCGTGGAGCCGGAACGGGCCTCACCGGACTGACGACTCGCACCCCTGGCTTGGTGCGTGGAGCAGCAACGGGCCGGACCGGGCTGACGATGCGCACCCCTGGCTTGGTGCGTGGAGCCGGAACGGGCCTCACCGGACTGACGACTCGCACCCCTGGCTTGGTGAGTGGAGCAGCGACGGGCCGGACCGGGCTGACGATGCGCACCCCTGGCTTGGTGCGTGGAGCCGGAACGGGCCTCACCGGACTGACGACTCGCACCCCTGGCTTGGTGCGAGTGGCAGGAACGGGCTGGACCAGGCTGACGACTCGCACCCCTGGCTTGGTGCGAGTAGCAGGAACGGGCTGGACCAGGCTGACGACTCGCACCCCTGGCTTGGTGCGAGTGGCAGGAACGGGCTGGACCAGGCTGACAACTCGCACCCCTGGCTTGGTGCGAGTGGCAGGAACAGGCCGGGCCGGGCTGGCGACGCGCACTGTAGGTTTGGTGCGTGGAGCAGGGACAGGCCGGGCTGGGCTGGCGACGCACACCGTAGGCTTGGTGCGTGGAGCAGGGACAGGCCGGGCCGGGCTGGCGACGCGCACCGTACACTTAGTGCGGGAAGCAGGAACAGGCCGGGCCGGGCTGGTGACGCGCACCGTAGGCTTGGTGCGTGGAGCAGGGACAGGCCGGGCTGGGCTGGCGACGCACACCGTAGGCTTGGTGCGTGGAGCAGGGACAGGCCGGGCTGGGCTGGCGACGCACACCGTAGGCTTGGTGCGTGGAGCAGGGACAGGCCGGACTGGGCTGGCGACGCACACCGTAGGCTTGGTGCGTGGAGCAGGGACAGGCCGGGCTGGGCTGGCGACGCACACCGTAGGCTTGGTGCGTGGAGCAGGGACAGGCCGGGCCGGGCTGGCAACGCGCACAGTACACTTAGTGCGGGAAGCAGGAACGGGCCGGGCCGGCGACGCACACCGTAGGCTTGGTGCGAGGGGCAGGAACAGGCCGGGCTGGCGACGTGCACCGTACACTTAGTGCGGAAGCAGGAACGGGCCGGAACGGACTGGTGATGCACACCACTTGCTTGGTGTGAGGAGCGGGACTGGGTTTCATCATAACCCTCCGCTCCCTCAGCTGCCTACCGAGTTCCTCTCGCCGTGCCTCATTTCTCACCCTTTCCCTTATCGCCTCCAATAGCTCCATCCTCTGCAACACTAACTCCTGCTCCCTCTGCGCCAGTAGCCCCCTTAACCTGGTGGCCTCCTCACCTAATCGCCCTGTGGCAGCCTCCTGCTGCCCTGTCGCCCCTGCCGTGTGCCCCCCCCCTAAAAATTTTTTTGGGTTGCCTCTCGACCGTCCGACGCTGACACTGCTTACGCCGTTGCTCCTCTCTCCGTCGCCTCTCAACTGTCTCACTCCATGGCCGGCGATCCATCCCGGCCAGGATCTCCTCCCAGGTCCAGGACCCTTTCCCGTCCAATATCTCCTCCCATGTCCAGGCTGCCTGCTCCTGGACACGCTGCTTGGTCCTGGTATGGTGGGTTTTTCTGTCACGATCGTCAGGGAGAGAAGTAGACCAATGCGCAGCGTGATGAACGAACATGATTACTTTATTTAATAAAGTGCACACACGAAACAACAAAACAATAAACGACTCGTGAAGTCCACGGTGACAATGACCGAACACGGACCAAAAACCCACAAACACAAAGGGAAAAACTGACAGTTTAAATATGGCTCCCAATCAGAGACAACCAGCCAACAGCTGACACTCGTTGCCTCTGATTGGGAGTCACTCAGGCAAAACATAGAAATAGACGAACTAGAACCCCCAACATAGAAATACACCACATAGAACAAACACACCCTGGCTCAACAACTAGAGTCCCATAGCCAGGGTGTGACACGCTTATAAGATTGAATCCTACTACAACGGCTCTGATGCTCGTCGGATGTGTCAGGGCTTGAAAACTATTACGGACTACAAAGGGAAACCCAGCTGCGAGCAGCCCAGTGACGCAAGCCTACCAGATGAGCTAAATGCCTTTTATGCTCGCTTCGAGGCAAGCAACACTGAAGCATGCATGAGAGCACCAGCTGTTCCGGACGACTGTGTGATAACGCTCTCGGTAGCCGATGTGAGCAAGACCTTTAAACAGGTCAACATTCACAAAGCCGCGGGGCCAGACGGATGCGTGGACCAACTGGCAAGTGTCTTCATTGACATTTTCAACCTCTCCCTGACCGAGTATGCAATACCTACATGTTTCAAGCAGACCACCATAGTCCCCGTGCCCAAGGAAGCAAAGGTAACCTGCCTAAATGATTACCGCCCCGTAGCGCTCACATCGGTAAACATGAAGTGCTTTGAAAGGCTGGTCATGGCTCACATCAACAGCATCATCCCGGATACCCTAGACCCACTCGCAAACCGCCCCAACAGATCCACAGACGACGCAATCTCAATCACACTCCATACTTCCCTTTACCACCTGGACAAAAGGAACACCTATGTGAGAATGCTGTTCATTGACTACACCTCAGCGTTCAACACCATAGTGCCCACAAAGCTCATCACTAAGCTAAGGACCCTGGGACTAAACCCCTCCCTCTGCAACTGGATCCTGGACCTCCTGACGGGCCGCCCCAGGTGGTAAGGCTAGGTAACAAACACGTCTGCCACACTGATCCTCAACACTGGGGCCCCTCAGGGGTGCATGGCCTGATCACCGACAATGATAAGACAGCCTATAGGGAGGAGGTCAGAGACCTGACAGTGTGGTGCCAGGACAACAACCTCTCCCTCAATGTGAGCAAGACAAAGAAGCTGATCATGGACTACAGGAAAAAGCGGGCCGAACAGGCCCCCATTAACATCGACAGGGCTGTAGTTGAGCCAACAAACTATCATGGTCCAAACACACCAAGACAGTCGTGAAGAGGGCACGACAACACCTTTTCCCCCTCAGGAGATTGAAAAGATTTAGCATGTTCCCCAGATCCTCAAAAAGTTCTACAGCTGCACCATCGAGAGCATCCTGACCGGTTTCATCACCGCCTGGTATGGCAACTGCTCGGTATCTGACCGTAAGGCGCTACAGAGGGTAGTGCGTATGGCCCAGTACATCACTGGGGCCAAGCTTCCTGCCATCCAGGACCTATATAGTAGGCGGTGTCAGAGGAACGGCCAAAAAATTGTCAAAGACTCCAGTCACCCAAGTCATAGACTATTCTCTCTGCTACCTCACGGCAAGCAGTACCGGAGCGCCAAGTCTAGGACCAAAAGGCTCCTTAAAAGCTTCTACCCCCAAGCCATAAGACTGCTGAACAATTAATGAAATGGCCACCCGGACTATTTACATTGACTCGGTACCGGTACCCCCTGCATATAGCCTTGTTATTGTTATTTTATTGTGTTACTTTTTATAATTTTTTACTTTAGTTTATTTGGTAAATATTTTCTTATCTCTTTCTTGAACTCCATTTCACGGTAAGGTTTACACCTGTTGTATTCGGCGCATATGACAAATAAAGTTTGATTTGATTTGATTGAGGCAAAAGAATAGCTAACATTAGCCAACTTTTGGCCAGCTCTCTTTCTAACGGTACATCAACTGGCGAAAGCTAGCCAAGTTGATTTACTTCTGAAACGGGACAAAACAAAGGCTACAAAACACTTCCATTCAAACAACAGCTGTTAGATAGTAATAATAGCCACCTCATATCGCTATCTGACAGATAATTAGAGGCTGGAGCTGACCTGGCTGTGGTAGCTACTAGCTAGTGTAGCTAATTCATTCACCTGCGTCGAGAGGGGATGAAACATTAGCTAACATTACATGTCAGTTAAATCAAATCAAAACAAATCAAATTTTATTTGCCACATGCGCCGAATACAACAGGTATTATAGGTACATTATAGTGAAATGCTTACTTACAAGCCCTTAACCAACAATGCATTTTTTTAAAGAATAAAAGCAAATAACTAAAGAGCAGCAGTGAAATAACAGTAGGGAGGCTATAGACAGGGTGGTACCGGTGCAGAGTCAATGTGCGGGGGCACCAGCTAGTCGAGGTAATTGAGGTAATATGTACATGTGGGTAGAGTTAAAGTGACTATGCATAAATAATAAACAGAGTAGCAGCAGCGTAAAAGAGGTGGATGGGGTGGGGGTGGGGGGGGCAGTGCAAATAGTCCGGGTAGCCATAATTAGCTGTTCAGGAGTCTTATTGCTTGGGGGTAGAAGCTGTTGAGAAGCCTTTTGGACCTAGACTTGGCGCTCTGGTACCGCTTGCCGTGCGGTAGCAGAGAGAACAATCTATGAGTAGGGTGGCTGGAGTCTTTGACAATTTTGAGGGCCTTCCTCTGACACCGCCTGGTATAGGGGTCCTGGATGGCAGGAAGCTTGGCCCCAGTGATGTACTGGGCCGTACGCACTACCCTCTGTAGTGCTTTGCGATCGGAGGCCGAGCAGTTGCCATACCAGGCGGTGATGCAACCAGTCAGGATGCTCTCGATGGTGCAGCTGTAGAACTTTTTGAGGATCTGAGGACCCATGCCAAATCTTTTCAGTCTCCTGAGGGGGAATAGGCTTTGTCGTGTCCTCTTCACGACTGTCTTAGTGTGTTTGGACCATGATAGTTTGTTGGTGATATGGACACCAAGGAACTTGAAGCTCTCAACCTGTTCCACTACAGCCCCGTCGATGAGAATGGGGGTGTGCTCAGTCCTCTTTTTTTTTCTGTAGTCCACAATCATCTCCTTTGTCTTGATCACGTTGAGGGAGAGGTTGTTATCCTGGCACCACACGGCCAGGTCTCTGACCTCCTCCCTATAGGCTGTGTCATCGTTGTCGGTGATCAGGCCTACCACTGTTGTGTCATCAGTAAACCTGATGATGGTGTTGGAGTCGTGCCTGGCCATGCAGTCATGGGTGAACAGGGAGTACAGGAGGGGACTGAGCATGCACCCCTGAGGGGCCCCCGTGTTGAGGATCAGCGTGGCAGATGTGTTGTTACCTACCCTTACCACCTGGGGGCGGCCCGTCAGGAAGTCCAGGATCCAATTGCAGAGGGAGGTGTTTAGTCACGGGATCCTTAGCTTATTAATGAGCTTTGAGGGCACTATGGTGTTGAACGCTGAGCTGTAGTCAATGAACAGCATTCTCATGTAGGTGTTCCTCTTGTCCAGGTGGAAAGTGCAGTGTGGAGTACAATAGAGATTGCATCATCTGTGGATCTGTTGGGGCGGTATGCAAATTAGAGTGGGTCTAGGGTTTCCGGGATATTGGTGTTACAATACTAGCTCAGCACTGCAAAACATTTTCTGTTAAGTTAAACAGCAGTTACCTTGCCATCAGTCAACTAAAGAGTAGCCAGTTTCTGTTCTACTTGCTTTTACAACTCGGTGAAAGAGCACAACACATACACACTGTACTATGCTCAACTCTCCTGTGCTGGTCCAACCAGCCTTCCAGAAGCTTTGTCTTCACACAGCCTGTCAGCCTGCTCTGTGGTGTCCGTTCAGTCTTAAATCCAGCCAGTTGAACACTCCAAACAGCCTACCCGACCGCTCGGAGGCATCCGCATGGTTCTAAAGTACGCTTTTGCCGCTTTTTGTATCACATTGCAATGATAAAACTGGGGGTGACAAAAATGCAATTTCAGAATGTGGGGACATTACCCCCCAGTCCCCACTAAAAGTTGTGCCCCTGGTGCATAGTATGTAGCCCACACCAAGCCATCCTAATTCTTTTGTCAACACATTATACAGTTTGAACCGTGGCTGTTCACTGAGTGTTTCCCTCTCTATCTCCCCTCTCTCTCCCCCCTCTCTGTCTCTCTGACCCCCCTCCCCCTGTCTCTCTCCTCTCTCTCCCCCTCTCCCTGTCTCTCAGACTACGATCCCCATGTCTACCAGTATGTCATCTCTGGCCACCAGTCCCAGTATGCCGTTCAGCCCGTATCTGAGCCACATGGGTCCAGGGATGGGCCTGATGCCTGAGCTGCTTCCCCAGGCCACCCTGCTGGTCCCAGGGAGCCCCACCAGCTTCCAGGTCATGGGCAACAGCAGCTCTCAGCAGAATCACATGCGCACAGACAAGCTGGAGGTATGTGTGGTGTGTCGTGTGTCTGTCTTACTCTGCCGTAGCCCAGTCTGAACCAGAGAAATAGAATGACAGAATATAATAGAATCATTCTAGTTCCATGGTCCGAACTCCTTCTCTGACTGTGCCACCCCACCCAGGTATGTCGTGAGTTCCAGAGGGGTAACTGCACGCGGGGCGAGGGCGACTGCCGCTACGCCCACCCCATGGAGGCGGCCATGTTGGAAGGCACTGAAAACTCGGTCATCGTCTGCATGGACTACATCAAGGGCCGCTGCTCTAGGGACAAGTGCAAGTACTTCCACCCCCCCGCCCACCTGCAGGCAAGGATCAAGGCCAGCCAGCACCAGGCCAGCCAAAACACAGCCGTCAACGCCATGGTGAGTCATGGTAAACACTCTGGACACTGGACCCAGAGCGCAGAGCCACAGAGGGTGAAACTGTATCATTCAGCTAGTAGTCTCGGAGTGGCACCCTATTCACTACATAGTGCACTACTTTTTACCAGGGCCTTCCCTATATGGTGCACTACTTTTGACCAGAGCCCGTTTTGCACTATATAGGGAATAGGGTGCCATTTCAGATGCATTTTTGGTCTGCATTGGGTTCTCTGTAATCCACAGAGACATATAGTTTTTATTTTACGTTTGTTTTCCATTTTCTGCAGTTGGGTATTTGTTTAAAGTTGCTATTCAGGCTAATGACACAGCCCCACCAGAGATGAAAGGATGTATTCTTGCAGTTAAGTGTGTGAAAGTGTTTTCTGATGGAGGCTGGCTTGTGTTTGAGGCTGGGGTTGCATCCCAAATGGCACCCTATTCCCTATATAGTGCACTGATTTTGACCAGAGCCCTATGGGCCCGGACACAAGTAGTGCACTAAATAGGCCATTTGGGAACCACCCTGGATCTTTGTATCCTCTGTGATATATGGAGGAAACAGTAGGAGAATCTGGCAGTATGAACAACAGCAAACAGACTGTCTGCATTGCAAGTGTGTAAAAAAAAGGGAGGGAGGGAGTGGGAGGGAGGGAGTGGGACAGAGAAAGATGTGGAGAGGGATGGAAAAGGGAGATTTGTTGAAGCTAACTAATTTTTTTTACTTCTTAAAGATTCCGACCCGAGTTAAGTGCTAATGGAACGTTATTCCCTTTTTATGCGTATTCTGACCTTGAACTTAAGCATGAGAATATCGTGCTATTCACCCACTATTCGTTTGAGGTGGAGCTTGAATAAATGAAAGTATGGCAGTGGTGTGTCTGCAGATGCAGCGTTTTCTGACCTTGACTTAATTCCCTAATAATTCCACCACCTTTACGTGTGAGGAAACCATGAATAAGGTTTAGCAAACCTACCGGTTCCAAGTGGACAAAGCATCTACTTAATTTTTTTAATAGAAATAACACCATTCTCCATGCACTGTAATTTATAACTTAATAAGATATATTGATAAGAACTAGGTAAATGAGTAATCTGTTTGGAGAAGGGGATTGTAAATACCCATAGCAATTGTTTCAGATTATCCCTGGAGACTAATATGAAACCAGCCATATGGAAGCAAACTGAAAATCAAATCAACATTGCGGCCCCTTTTCCACAGTGAAATAGGATCTAAATAGGACATTCAGAGACTTGTCCCGAAGCCACTACTGCGTGGTCTTGGCTGTGTGCTTAGGGTCATTGTCCTGTTGGAATGTGAACCTTCGCCCCAGTGTGAGGTCCTGAGCGCTCTGGAGCAGGGTTTCATCAAGGATCTTTCTGTACTTTGCTCCGTTCAAATAGCTAACAGTACGCTATAACTTGAAATTAAAATGAATTTCTGACAAAATTAGAAACATGTATTATCTGAAAATATAGCTAGCTAGACTATCTTACCCGTATACATGAATGGACGCTGCTCCCTCTCTGCCTTAGTTTGAAGATGTAATCCGGAGACAGGTGTTTTATACAACAGCCTTCTGTGTGTTCTCTTTTCGACTCTGTCTGCATATTTGCAATGAAAACGCCAGAATTGTCTCCATCTTCTTAGCTATCATACTCTAATTCCACCGTGCATTCCACTGATTTCAAAACTCGGTCCTCCAGAAAGTGGAGAGCAACAGCTTTGCAGTTCTACTACGTCATATCTTTCAAAAAAGCTGCATTAGAAAAGATTACCTACACATACTGACCAGCTCATGTTATAGACAGAAGCGCGCTACATGGCAGACCAATCCGAACTCATCTCTCTGCATGTCCAGCCCACCCATTATCTCAGCCAATCATTGCTAGCGGGAAGGTTCCTGTCTTTTTCTGTGGCTAAACCAACTAGACTCGTAATTTAACAATTGTATTCGTATTTACAGATGACATACAGTGGGGAGAACAAGTATTTGATACTCTGCCGATTTTGCAGGTTTTCCTACTTACAAAGCATGTAGAGGTCTGTCATTTTTATCATAGGTACACTTCAACTGTGAGAGACGGAATCTAAAACAAAAATCCAGAAAATCACATTGTATGATTTTTAAGTAATTAATTTGCATTTTATTGCATGACATAAGTATTTGATACATCAGAAAAGCAGAACTTAATATTTGGTACAGAAACCTTTGTTTGCAATTACAGAGATCATACGTTTCCTGTAGGTCTTGACCAGGTTTGCACACACTGCAGCAGGGATTTTGGCCCACTCCTCCATACAGACCTTCTCCAGATCCTTCAGGTTTCGGGGCTGTCGCTGGGCAATACGGACTTTCAGCTCCCTCCAAAGATTTTATTTTGGGTTCAGGTCTGGAGACTGGCTAGGCCACTCCAGGACCTTGAGATGCTTCTTACGGAGCCACTCCTTAGTTGCCCTGGCTGTGTGTTTCGGGTCATTGTCATGCTGGAAGACCCAGCCACGACCCATCTTCAATGGTCTTACTGAGGGAAGGAGGTTGTTGGCCAAGATCTCGCGATACATGGCCCCATCCATCCTCCCCTCAATACGGTGCAGTCGTCCTGTCCCCTTTGCAGAAAAGCATCCCCAAAGAATGATGTTTCCACCTCCATGCTTCATGGTTGGGATGGTGTTCTTGGGGTTGTACTCATCCTTCTTCTTCCTTCAAACACGGCGAGTGGAGTTTAGACCAAAAAGCTCTATTTTTGTACGAACAATAGTACGCAAGTATAAACACCATGGGACCACACAGCCCTCATACCGCTCAGGAAAGAGACGCGTTCTGTCTCCTAGAGATTAACGTACTTTGGTGCGAAAAGTGCAAATCAATCCCAGAACAACAGCAAAGGACCTTGTGAAGATGCTGGAGGAAACAGGTACAAAATTATCTATACAGTAAAACAAGTCCTATATCGACATAACCTGAAAGGCTGCTCAGCAAGGTAGAAGCCACTGCTCCAAAACTGTCATAAAAAAGCTAGACTATGGTTTGCAACTGCACATGGGGACAAAGATCGTACTTTTTGGAGAAATGTCCTCTGGTCATTAACATGGGTAAAAAAAACGTATTTCACTTACCAGTCTAAAGTGGTGTCCTCTCCTTCCAAAAACATATCTTCAGCTGTTGAGTCTAAACTATTTTCACTATGTCCTCATCTACTGGTTATTTGACACTTTCCCGGTCGATTTCTGCTATAATCTCATCCAAATCTGTATACCTGGACTTTGATTTACCTTTTCTAGTATTAGTAGGCATATTGTACTTTTCAAAATGTGCAGATAACTTTGTTTACTAAATCGAGCTGTGCGTAACGCGATGCGCCACTTCCTTGTTTAGATTTCCAATGGACACTAAACCGCGTTGCGCGCGTGTTGAATTCACAGGCTTTCCTCAGACAAAGGACCATCGCATACTCATGTAAATCCCAGCGCATTGCCTATCTAGCCAGCTATGTTTCAAAACGATAGGTGGTCATTGGACCAAGATACAGTCAATCAAGTGAACACTGCCAGTCTCATCTGCGCGTAATGATGTCGTGTCTTTGTGGCTAAAAATGTTTTTGTATCGGATATACCTAATGGTAGAATGATGAATGAAAGGCTTGTTACCTTCTGGAGTGTCTGAGGAATAAATAGGAACCTAACTTGACTTGCAGAGACAAGGTTTAGCTTTCGATTTTCACAGATTTATTTATTTGCAAGTTGAACGAGTGGGAATACAACATGGATCGTGCATACAACATGGATCGTGTTATGACATAAAAATGGATTTTATCAAACAAAACTATGCTATATTTTATCTATGGGACCCTCAGGATGATCAGAGCAAGTACTATATTTACCTTCAGATGTGAATGTATCAAACCTGTCACTGTGATAAAAGTGTTTTGTTGTTGTGCACTATCTTCAAACAATAGCATGATCTCTTTTCGCTGTAATAGCTACTGTAAATTGGACAATGCAGTTAGATTAACAATAATTTAAGCTTTCTTCTATGTCCCGGAAAATTGGCTGTTGTTTGCAACGTAGTTGTAGTCACATTATGCATATTGAGCAACAACTCTCCCGTTCACGGGACACCCATCCAGTAGAGGCTAGCTAAGATTTTGAAAGTATGATGTTGACATGATCTGTCCAATCAAAGATACTGTAGATATAACGTGATTTTACATCATTTTATCTGTGGCCAATGACCTTGAGCATTCTTGGATGGGCACTTCTAATGTAACTCTATGGCAGCACCCAATGGGCTTGAATTTTCTAGCTCTCCCCATAGATTTTGTGGTGACGTTTTGTCCCCATGAGTGACAGAACGCTGGCCAATCACAGCGCAACTAGAGAACATTCCTACCCCCTATGCTCCGTATTTTCCGCTGGCTGCCCCACCACCACAGAAAGCACTGAACTAGGCTGAAACAGCTGCATTTTGGAGCTGCCTTACTCAAGAAAGCAAAAAGAGACCATGTTTTATTTTTTATTTATTTTTACATTGTTTGTAAACTGATAATACCAAAATAACATGCAAAACAGTCACAAAAAAAATATTATTATTATTTTAGCTAAACAGGTGGGGCTATGCACCACCTGCCCTGAATGACGGGTCGACACTGATCCTAATACATGTTGTAGTATTCAAATAACTTTTTATAAACACACCGCTCCATAATCCTGAGGACATTGTCCCGGACAGAGGTTCCCCAATTGAGGACAGGTTGGCAGTCTTCAAAAAATGTAAGGATGTATAAAGAGGCAATAAAGAGACAAAATATGATATTGTTCAAAACTTGTCTGTCATATCATTCCTGCAACAAACAGTGTTAGAAGTGGGTGTAATTGGCAGATCTCTTCCTTTTCTCTGCAACTGCAAACGTGTGTGAGTTTGAGTGAGTGACAGGGAGAATGAGCAAGAGAGAAATGGGAGAAACTTTACATGACTCACCAAGGGAGGTGTCTGTTGAATCAGGACACAAGGGTTTTCTTAAAATAGGATTTGGCGAGTTAAAATAGGATTTTATTTGCTTTACAATCTTATATTATTAGAAGCGGTGCCATTTCAATTGGATCTACTTACACTACAGTCTTAGAAAAAAGGGTTCCAAAAGGGTTCTTCGGCTGTCCCCATAGGATAACCATTATGGTTCCAGGTGGAACCCTTTTGGGTTCCATGTAGAACTGTTTCGGATTCCATGTAGAACCCTCTGTGGAAAGGCTTCTGCATGGAACCCAAAATAGTTCTACCTGGAACCCAAAAGGGTTCTTCAAAGGGTTATCCTACCGGGACAGCTGATGAACCCTTTTAGG